CTGGTGGAATCTCTGAACTTCCAGGCTACTTCCTAAGGGGGTAGCCTGAGGATGAGGGGTTTGGTCAGGGCAGAGATAGAATGTGGGATATGGAGGCTTTTGGAGTGTGAGATGAAGATCTGGGTGGGAGAAATATTTAATTCAATTCAAATAGCATTTATTAAGTTTGTGTTTGGCCTAGTGTGGCAGAAAGACCCTTGGCCTGGGAATGCAAAGACTGGGCCAGTTCCAGTGCCTTGTCAACTACTAACAGAACAGCTGACCTCTTGGAACCCCCATTTCCCATGGGCTTTCTAATAATGTGGGGAAACACTGTGCCCAGCACTGGGTGGCAGAGGCTTGGTGAGCACAAGATGAATTGGGGTAGGGGCAGAGGATTAGGCATAATTTGGCCCCACGAGAAGGACATGGCAGCCCACAGCCTCAGCTGCCCCACCAGCTTCCTCCTCCTACTAGTTCAAGAGCATCAACAAGGGCCGGAAGATGAACATCATTGACTCGATGCTGCGGATGCTGGAACAGTACTCCAGTAACCTGGAGGACCTGATTCGAGAGCGCACAGAGGAGCTGGAGCTGGAAAAGCAGAAGACAGACCGGCTGCTCACACAGATGCTGCCTCCGTGGGTGCCAATGGGGAGAGGTGGGTGGGGAGGACAACTGGAGTCCAGGCAGATTGGTGGCCTCCAGGTAACCTTCCCACCTGCCATCCCCAGGTCTGTGGCTGAGGCTCTGAAGATGGGGACACCTGTGGAGCCTGAGTATTTTGAGGAGGTGACACTTTACTTCAGTGACATCGTGGGTTTTACCACCATCTCAGCCATGAGTGAGCCCATTGAAGTGGTGGACCTGCTCAACGACCTCTACACGCTCTTTGATGCCATCATTGGCTCCCACGATGTCTACAAGGTGCGGTGTGTAGGGGGCAAGCCCTCTTTTAGCTTCACTGTCTTCCAGCTCTTCCTACTCAGCCCCCAGAGCCCTTGCCCCAGGCCACCAGCACAATCCTCTTTCCCAGCCCTCCTGTCCCTTATGTCTTCTGCTGGTGCCCAGCTCAGCCCCACAGCTGGAAGGCTCCCCAAGATCTCTGCACTAACCCCAGTTTAGGCCCCCTGACAAGGGACAGTCACATCGGTGGGGGGTGCTGAGTACTGACTTCGCTCCTCAGGTGGAGACAATTGGGGACGCCTATATGGTGGCCTCCGGGCTGCCCCAGCGGAACGGGCAGCGACATGCAGCAGAGATCGCCAACATGGCTCTGGACATCCTCAGTGCCGTGGGCTCCTTCCGAATGCGCCACATGCCGGAGGTGCCTGTGCGCATCCGCATCGGCCTGCACTCGGGTAACTCCCCGCCCTCCCAGGTTCCCCAGCCCATCTCCCTCTTTAGGGCAAACTCGGGGAGTGATGGGGCAGGGGCTGTTCTTGAAGCCACCTTTGCCCACCAGGCACTCCTGTGTAACTGGGAAGGTGTGCTTGAGA